GAAGTGGGAAGGTTGTCTCTTAGAAAGAGGTCGCCTTTACCAGATCCCTGTCTGGACAGAGGAGCTGACAGAGTCTTGGGTAGTCCAGCCTACTGAACAGGTTATTTTAATTCCACCTAGATGTGAAGCTTCCCGTTTTAGTTGACCGATGTTGTTTTGTGCCTTTTTCTGCTGTAGGCACAACCCGATCTCCGAGAGAGGGAGAAGTGCCTGGCGTGGACTATAACTTTCTGACCGTGAAGGAGTTCTTGGACCTGGAACAGAGGGGAACTCTTCTGGAAGTCGGCACCTATGAAGGTGAGCTCATTGCTCGGCAGGGGTGATAGTGGCTCTCTCCTGGCCACTGCAGAGGATCCAGAGCCACCTAGGCAAAAAGGCTTTATGGACTAGGGAGGCCTGACCAAACACAGGAGACTGCAGACCACCTTAATATGATTAATAATAATAAAATACGTGGAATAAGGTTTAAATGTACATAATATGTTTTACAGGCATTTTCTTCTTTAATTTATTGATATAAATGTTTTGTTTTTGTTCTTAAATATGGGCATGTATGGTATTAAAAGAAGATGAAAAAGAATCATGATTAATCACAAAATGTGACTTTATAGAGAGTTATTTTAATCTGAAAGGAAAAATGTTATGTTTTACTACTAATAGGGCTTTTAATAGTCATTTTTTGAGTAGATACACGTTCATGGTTCATGAATATTTCAGAGGTATTCAGTAAATAACCATCTTCGTACCCGTTTCCCACCTGCCCGGTTCCCAGTCCTCCTTCCCCAAATACTGCAACCAGTCTGAGGAGTTTCTTACGTGCTGTGCTGAGATTTCTTTATGTGAATGCAGACGAGACTGCTGTGTATGTGTATACGTGTGTGTGCACGTGTGTACACATGTGTGTGTATGTGTTTGTACATGTGTGTATACGCGTGCGTACATGTGTATACGTGTGTGCATACATGTGTGCGCATGTGTGTGCATGTGTGTACACATGTGCGCGCGTGTGTACACATGTGTGTATGTGTGTACATGTGTGTATACACGTGTGTACATGTATACATGTGTGTATATGTGTGTGCTTGTGTGCATACACGTGTGTGCGCATGTGTGTGTACATGTGTGTGTACGTTCTTATTTCGTCCCTGTTTTACACAAAAAGTAGTACGCAGTACACTCTGTTTGGTGCCTTACTCTTTTTGTTTAACAGTATACCTTAGAGGTCTTTGCATTTCAGTAATAGAGAACTTCTTTTTAAAAAAAAAAGAAAGTCTATATAATCCTTTGTATGGTCATACCGGTATTTATTTAACTAGTTTTCTCTTAACATTTGGATCATTCTCAATTTTTGATATTACAAAACATTGGAGCATTGAATAACATAGACATGCATCATTTCACATGGGTGAAAAT